CTTATTTCATTGGCACTTAATTGGTCGCGAATGATTCGGTTTACAGTGACATATATCAGATTAATTGTAAAAGAAGTCAAACAAAGGAAAGAAGCAAACTAAAAAAAAAAACGTATATATTACTATTTATTTACAAAAATTTTAAAAAAATTAATGTAAAAAAATTCTTGTTGTTACCCAAAATGCATATCCATAAAACCCAGTAACTCTGGTGATTGGAATAACTGTTAAATTGGCTAAAAATGCTGACTTTTATTTCCCCAGGAAAAAAATAAATGAATAAAAATTTATTAGTTTTTTTTCTTTTCTTTCTTTCTTTCCATCACACGACAATAAAGAACTTACTAATCTAGCAGCAGCAATTTGAACACCAACAGCAATGGCCAACCCTTTTCCTTTGAACCAGTGACTTAGAATAGCAGTTTGTATCGTAACAATTGTACCACTTCCAATTCCATACATGATTCTTCCCAAAACCATCACATGAAATGAAATTAAATGGGTTGATAAGGCTACTAAAATATTACCGGCTGCTATTAAAGATGTAGCTAGAATTGATCCTAGTGATGTACCAAATGTATCAATAAACACACCACCAAGAAATGGTAAAATTGTGTTAACTAGTGAAACTGATGATTGAATGATTCCATATTCTGAATTTGTTATTCCCAGTTCCTATAATAATAATATATGAATTAAAAATGAAATTTCTTACAAGCGCACATATCTATGCAAATACGAGTGAATGCTTTTAATAATAATAATAATAATAATTAGTCAAACCTTTTTAATAGTGGATTTTAAAGCACCTAATGTGTGAGCTGCATAATGACTTCCAGCTGATTTGAAAAAAACATTGTTTTTATAATAATAATAATAATAATTAATATTATTGTTATAACTAACGTCATCGTTATCATAATTATTATTATCAAAAAGTCAATGTTACATTACCGGCTAAAGATAAAGCACATAATAAAGCCATCATCTTATATTTCCAAGGTTTTTCCAGTTCAGTAACTTCACCACCACCCATTTCACCATTTTGTGATAATTCTATATCTTTTTTATCATTTGGAATTTGCTCATCTCCTTCTCCCCTTTCCTCTTCATCATTTATGTTGACTATAGGTTGATATTTACCACCTTTGTTATTACTTTTAAAGAATTTATTATTATTGGGGTTTTTTTTGTTACTGTTATTGTAGATATTTCCATCATCACTATCATAATCATCATTTTTAGAGATTATTATTGGTAACGAATTATCATTATCAAACACCGCTTGATATCCAGTAGTAAGAGATGATGGTGATTGACTTCGTGACGATGATGATAAAGGAGAATTTGATCTCGATGATGGTGGTAAAAGTGGATGTTTTGGTGAAGTCATTTTTATTTTTATTATTTTATGAATTAGGGAGTTTTTTTTTTTTTTGAAAAAAAAAAATATTTTATAGTTTTTTTTACCCGAATTTTACATATATATGAGAAGATTACACATACATATATATATACACATGATGTATGTATATGTTATATTACAAGTATAAATGATATTATAAATTTTAATTTCTTTGTCCATTGATAATGATATAATAATATGCATATTTATACATTATTAAAAAATCACACATACATATATGTCATTTTTTTTTTGTATTTTATATTTTATCAGATTGTACAAAAATATTTATCAGATTTTTTTTAAACATATTAATACTAAATATGCATATCGTTCATTTATCAGATTTTAAATAATATGTAATCATTATGCAACTATATAATGGGGACGTGCAGTAACGTTCGTTAAACAAAAGAAATATTTTATGCAGATCTCAACAAAAATAATTTTATATACAAGATTCGAACTCTGCCTCCTCCGTTATTACCAAATAAACATCCATTGATAGAAAAGTGATCTAACCTATATTTTATATTAAAAAATTGGGCTTGATTATCAAAAAATGGTTTAAAATAAGATAAATTAAAAATAGCATCAAATGAAAGCCTGCAACTTGACAAAAAAGAATCTGTATAAAAATCCCTTACATACTTTAATTTTGATCTCCAACTCCCAATGGTGCATTGGGGTGGTCATTCAACTATATATGGTCTCATATGTGGCATGCTGCAACAAAAACCAGTGAACATTGTATTACCAAGAATTACCCAATGTGTTGTGATCATGCATGATATTTGCTTTTTTGCTTAGACACAAATAATATGAAACTAATTTACATTAGATCTACTTTGGAACCCAAAGCCCAAAAATTATATATAGCATCATTAGAAATATTTTGAAGAAAGAACAGGGAAAAAAATTACTTATATTTTAAAATAAATGATACTCAGGCGGTTTTATATGGTTGGAATTTACATGGTAAAATTATTTATATACAAATATTATTATCTAGTATTTGATAACTTTATATTATGTAATTTTAATATAGACTTGAGTTAAATATCTATGCTCTTAAATGGAAAAGAGATGGAATATACTTATTTGGATTAATAGGGTATTCTTCCATCCAAGAATGAATGTGGATATATGGGCATGCTGCAACAAAACCAGACAAAGTGAACATTTGTATTACAAGGATACAAGGATTTCAAGGTTCAAATGAATTTGAAAAGAAATTATTGATCACTAAAATAGAGTTTATGTAAATTTTAATATGTACAAATTATTTTATCTTGTATTTAATTAAACATCTCATCAGAAAAACATCCTGACAGGATGAAAATAAATTGCTAGATTAAGATACTAATATTTATGAAACAATACCAAAAGTAGAAACACCTTCCATAATTGTTATTTGCAGCAATGGTGGTTACTAGCTCAATCATTTATGGTAAGTGTCTTTAACCAAAGGTATGTTTAAAATATCTTAATGTGTATCATTTTATTAATTATAATAAGGCAATCAATTACTATATATAATCTGCAACTAAATATTTCAACAGCTAGGAATTTTCATTGGATTATGTAACATTTCTCTAGTCATTTTTCAGTTTAGGAAATTCTACTTGAGTATTTTCTTGACAATTGAATGGTATTATGTTGCAGATTTTTCAACAATCTCCTAAAAGTAATATATGGGGCATTCTACAACAAAATCAGACAAAGTGAACATTGGTATTAGCAATGATTTCAGGGATCAAAATTAGTAATGTGATTTATTAAAATCTCTCATTTGTTATATTTGTTTTTTTCTTAATATTAAGAGATATATAAAATTACCTCTATATTAAAATAGTTAATATGAAGCTGATTTACATTAGGTCTACTATGGAACCCAAGAATTACTGTACCATTAGAAGTATTTTGAAGAAGGAACAAGGTGAAAAAATTGCTCCTTACATTTTTAAATTAGCAGATACCAAGTCTTTGCAAACATATTTAGACAAAGAAAGGATTACTTATGAAATTTATCAAGAGGAAAGAAAAATAATAAACATTAAGAAAAGAAAGCTGAATGAAAGTGTGCTATTACCCAACAAAAAGCAAAAATCCTTAGAAGAAAAAATAATCTGTATTATTAAATACTGATCTATTTTCTCTTTTTAATTCTTTTAACAAATTATAAACCTAAAAAAGTTATACCTGCTATTCATAATCAAGAGAATTGTTTTTATATTTTTGGCAAAATCTTCAAGCCTTTTCACTGTAGTATCTGAAGTATTATGATACTTTATAACGAGCCCGTCTATAACAAATACTAATACTTTCATCATATTACAGAATTCACCAGCAGTAAATCTTTTTATGTTTTCAAGACCATGCCTAAATATCTTTAACCCGGGAAACCTAGGAATTCCGGCTATAGTATTTTATCAAATTCATCAACAGCCACTTGCCCACTTACATTTTTCAATAGATTCTGTGTATAAGTCACTTGATAATTAAATAATCCCAAGTCACAATGATACATTCTATCAGTTACTACTGTGAGATCAGAATTCCGCGTCTCACACAAATCTATTGATTTGGTTAAAATATTATTTATTTCGTTTTATGGCAGTATCCAATTATTTAATTCTTTGATTACTTTCTTTCACTATAGCGCTCAAGCTATTTAATTATTTACAAGGCAAGTTTTCTTACTTTCCTTCCGGTAACGTTTTCTCAGCAGTTCTTTGTTATCTGCCTGAGCCGGCACGTCTCAATGAGATTTATAATATCTCTAGTATCCGCCGTGATACTTTATGGTTCAGTCTCTTAACTGACCTCACTAAAAGCACCAAAAGAAAAGAAAAGAAATAAAAAATAATAAAATTAATATAATATAAGAGAAAATAATTATGCACGTGATTAGTATAAATTCGTCGTTAGGGATAGATTTATTATCATTACGAAAATATAATGTTCAAAGTTAACAAGGACAAGGTCAAGGTTTATTTATAATAATATTTGAGTTTACTAAAAAAACTAATAAAACTTCGAGTTAATTAAAACTAATAAACTAAAGATTACATGAAAGAGAAATTTACAACGTATTTATACATTTTAGAGGTTCTATCATCTAGTTCTCTGATTTCTTTAAAATCCTAAATTATACTAATTAATGTATTCTTTAATCATTATTTAAACCTTCCATGTAGAATTATTTTCAAGTAATTTCTAGTCAACATGAGTCATGTAAAATTCTTTCGTTTAAATATTATTCTGAGACTTTGTAATTCGTTACATTTTAGAATGTTGGAATATTTATATTTCCAATATTTCCTTGAGTCAATTATTTTATTGGTGTTAACTATTTGATCACTTGATCAGTTTTTCCGATTTTATTTGCGTGTAATAGTAACTTCGTAAATCATTTCCGATTTATATGTTCGTTTCCCGTGATTTATAATTTACTATTTTACACTACTGCTGTATAAACATTCAATTGACTAATAATAAAATTTTAATCAATATATGTATATTGTCATCAAAAATTGACCAGCTGATTTTAAAGAAATGTGTACACAGGTATTTCCAGAATATATTTTCGGTATTATGATTCTCGTGAATTACCATCTTTGATGACCTCTTGAGGTATTCTGATATTACCTAGGGGCAAATAAATAAATGGGGGTCAACTCAATGTTACACGTATAGATTTTGTGAATCCAAAACTGTCACGCCTTAAAAATTAAAAATGATGCGCATTTCATAGTAAAAAATCAACTTTACATATAAAATCTTATACACAAGTGTTTTTAAGCAGCCGATCCACCAAAGTTGAGTTCACAAGGCAATTACCTTTATGTTTTTTGAATTTTGTCAAATTTGTAGCAAAAATGACTTTTAGACACTATATTAAATAAATTAATATTAATGACATTTTACTTCCTGTAGTTGCTTGCAATTAAAATTCTACAAGTGATAATGAAATTAAACAATTATAATAAACAGTAGTGAATAATGAACAGGTAAAGAGTAATATAAATAATATAAGTAATATATGCATATGTTATTAAAAGTTAAAAATTTTTTTTATGTTAAAGATGGCAGAATCCTCAAAAAAAAAAAATAAAATAGAAATTATATATAAAGTATCTTATCGGACAATAAATAATAGGTGGCTCACTACTACAAACATACACTTCATGTGCATACTTTAACATTAAAGGTTGGTCGTAATGTAAAATTAATTTTATACATGAAGAGGATATATATTTTAAATAAATAAATTCAACAATCTTTTGACAAAAAAAAAATTTTTTATATTAGTGGTATATATACAGTCCATTCTCCATACAACCAACCCTCCATCTCTATATGTAATTTGTTTGTTATAGATAGAGAGTGTTTACTAAGATGTTCGTCATAGAGAGTGTTTACTAAGATATTCGACATAGAGAGTGTTTACTAAGATGTTCGTCATAGAGAATGTTTACTAAGATGTTCGTCATAGAGAGTGTTTACTAAGATGTTCGTCATAGAGTGTGTTTACTAAGATGTTCGTCATAGAGAGTGTTTACTAAGATATTCGTCATAGAGAGTGTTTACTAAGATGTTCGTCATAGAGAGTGTTTACTAAGATGTTTGTCATAGAGAGTGTTTACTAAAATGTTCGTCATAGAGAGAAATTATGAAAAAATGAATCGGGAACAAAAGTAAAGTTTATGAACTCTACCAACTCCGAAGCACAATATTAGGTTGTTCAAACATTATGAATCATTCAAGTCACGCATCAAGGTATCTTGTTAAATACAGTATAATCGATTTATTTGTTCTATATACTTAAAAAAGTTAAAAGTGTTTTTTAAAATCTTCATACCTTTTTGTACAAAAAAATTTTTTTATCTTATACTATTTAATGTTTTATAATGCTTAAAATTGTATGTATATATATTTAAACTTGCAAATAATAAGCGTAACATTCAAAATACAAAAGAAAATTTATTTTTTATAACCGATCCTTTTTTAAAAAAGCTATAGGAGAGTTTCTTTACTAAAAGTTATATTAAAAGGAAGCTGAAGATTTGTTCTTACAAGGAAAAAATTTTAACATGTGATGATATATAAAATTTTAGTTTACAATATGTACGCGTTTTGCGTTTTATTTATTTCTACATATGTAAACTCGATAAGTCGGTCACTCGATAAGTCGGTTTTGGCCTAACTCGGCCAAAAATTTTTGCCCCGTTTTTTTACTATTTAAAAAAATTCGATAAGTCGGTCAATCTATATAAAGTCACGATAAACGCTAAGTCGGTCAATCACTTAGCCCAAGTATAATTAAATGAATCACGATAAGTCGGTCTCACGTGATATCTCATTATGTAAAGGGTCATCATTACTATTTTAGTAATGTATGATCTAATAATTTTTATTCGTAATACAGTGCGGATCATCTATACTCAAAAGTTAAAATTTTTGAAATATTATGTGATCCACATTGGATTTTAAAAAACTTACCACCATTCAATTCAGCTTTAAAAGGGGAGTCTATTAATCTAAAAAAAAATTTGTCTCAAATTTTCTTTCCATAGGTTTTTTAAATTTGAAAGTTATGCTCAGAAGTGCAACAATAATTTTAACATATATAAAAGAAGAAAAGGTTACTGTGTTATGGTGTCTTACTAAATGTTGCAATTTTTGTGTAGATTTTTTATATTTTGTGTAATATTTCCCCTTTTTTTGTATGTTT